TAGTAAAATAATAGCACCTCATAGGAAGCAGACATTGCGTTCGAAATGAAACATCCTTTTGTCTTCCCACACGTTGCATTATTGAAGGTGTAGCTCTGAAAGGAGGTTTACAATAGGTTGTCCTGTCAAGGCTAACTAGTCGATTAGAGAAAAAAAAGATAGAAAAAAGGAAAAGGAAGGGAAAGAGGAAGCAGAGAAGTGCTTACGGTTGAGCTTCCGTTATCTGTCAATAAGCGTGGAGACGATACGTAATTGTGCTTGTGTATAGTGAGGCCTAAAACACAAACTCCGATAATCTTGAAGAATCTGAGTGTTGTCACATGAGTTTTTCAGTGCAACCTAAGTGCACAGGCTGCTTAGGTATACATATGGGGATACCAGCTATGTTGCGGCCGTCATGCAATGCCAGACCGTTGCAAAGCTGATAAGGGGGTGCTAAAATATCTCCAAGCTAGGGTATCCCATCCTGCTCAGCTGCACCACTCCAGCCTCAAAGGCAGCGAAACGCGCCACTAAGCCGTAGGCGCTAAGGGTTTGGATTGAATTCCACCAGAACTATCAGGGTCAGCCCACTTTTCGATATCTTATCGGCGTCGCAATCCTCTATCTGTACTTGTATTTCTCTTGAAATCCTAATTGCTTTAGGTACAAAAAAATGATATAAAATTTGATATTCATAGAAAATTTGGTTAACTGTTTCGTCCAATTGCTATAACAACATTCAAGTTCAACATTTCCAAAAAAGCCTATTCAATTCCCAGAATTTTTGCAGTTTATAATTTATTTCTTGACGTGAGAATAATCCTTTTCTTGATTTCAAATGAAAACATTTTGAGCACTTGATAGGGGCAAAAATTGAAATGATAAAATAGTAGACAACCTTTGGCATCCGTGTTACCACTTGCCAATAATAGGTAGTAGCTCTGGGTAGGATTGAGGCGAAATACCTGAAATAAGTGGGCTATTGGGGACAAAATGGCTTTCAAATACTTTTTCCAGAAAGTTCTTCACCCAGTAGCTGCATATTTTGTATTGTGAACCTGGTCCATGTCTTTCGCAAACAGAGTAAGTTCTGAAGTCCGCGTGGCTACTACAGCGCATCGCACGTTTAAGGATGCGCGGACGCGCGACACGCTTTAGCACCACGTGGGACAGCGCGACGCGCTATGACACCACGCCGCTGGCCTCATTTTCCTTGCACGTGGGATTTCTTTTCGGGTTCAAATTTATTCTTTTAGTCATGGAGTTGAACATAACCATATGCGACGTGGTCGTGGAAGTTGGAGAGTGCTGTGTTTTCCTCGAACT